TAAATAAATAAATAATAATAATAATAATAATAATAATAATAATAATAATAATAATAATAATAATAATAATAATAATAATAATAATAATAATAAGTTACTATTTTTAACTTTAACCAATAGAAAAATTATTTATTTCGAAACTTAATTATTTTCTTATATATGAACTTTTTTATGTTTATGCAAACGTGTTCATAGTAGTTATTACATAAAATCGATGACAACTATGAGTCATGTTTCAAATTTGTGTTCATTATTAGCTTCAGTGTTGCACATAATGACCAGCAACTATCCTTACACCTTTGAGCATTCTTTACATCCAAACAGAAAACCAAAGAAAGTACTTATTTTATTGTCACGTTCCTACCACCTTAGCAGAAGTACTATTACTCAAAAAAAAAAAAATGTGTAATACATCTCAATCTCAGTTTTACTTCTGACTGAAACCTGGCACCCCACAGAAATACAACTATTCGAAACAAACACATTATTATCGTCTTATTCTCCATTCATGCGTCCAAAAGATTTCATTTCCAATGCCCAATAAGAAATCACAACTGCATTACAATCTTTCCCGTCTTGAAAACTTATTACTGCTCCACGTGTCAACATTTTGTATCCCGTTTGTCGCATTCTAACCCCAAATACCCTATGACGACAACAAAACTTTGAGCACCGACAAGAATTTGACATGTAACCTCTCTCACATTCAAAGACCTAAATCCATCAAAACCAATGCATCAGTGCACTTTCGTTTAACATTTCAACACCTTGAAGCACCAAGACGTATACATAAATAATTTTTTTGTTGACAAGCAGACCATTACACAAACACCAAACTAAAGACAAGAATGAAACATCACCTACCAACAGTATTGCAGCAATCAATAAACACAAAGAAGAAACCATCCCCGATGGAATAAAAATTATACATTTATGAATATGCAGGTGTGTGTGTGTGTGTGCAGATACAAAAACATAAAGGAACACATACAAACAAGAGATTTTATAAAAACAAAAGGAAAAGAATCCTCTTTTACAGAAACTCAAGAATCTTAGATGAAAACAGAGAAGCTTCAAAACACATTTAATCATGAATTACCAACATATAAAACAACCATCTTGAGAGTAAATAAAAGTACAAAACACATTTAATCATGAATTACCAACATATAAAACAACCATCTTGAGAGTAAATAAAAGTACAGATAGAGCATATGAAATTGAAAGGGCTGGGGAATCTTTGTTTTTCTTTTTTTCCAAAAAAATGAAGAGACCAGAGACTAAACCCATTCAAGAATAAGGCTAGAGAAGATAAAACCCATAAAACAAAACGGCCAAAAAAAAAAATCCAAATGTTGAACCCAAAAAAAGAAGAAAGCACACAGGATATAACCATCAAAGATCGGTACAGAAATGAAAGAATCTGAGAAATTTTACCAGCCAAAAAGCAGCAGATTGAGCGGCGATCTATAATCAAGACCTGAAAATAGCAAAACGAGCCTTAAAAAAAGAATCTTTATTCAAAACATTGTCTGGAAACTTTGAAAACAATAAAAACTTTCTCACCCACCTCTCTTTCTATTCACATATAGATAAGAACAGAAGAAAAAAATATAGATATAAACGCAAAAACAAACCTCACCGCTTTATCAAGAAAAAAACTAGAGAGAGAAAGGCTTCCTTAGATGAGATCAGATGAGAATACAACGCTGTGTAGGGTGCTGTGGTGTGAGAGAAAATAAGGGTGGATTAATGAGGACAGTAATTTACTCATAAAAACACTCCAACGTAGGAAAATAGGTTAACCTCACAGACAAAAATAATAATAAATAAAGAAAAAGAGGAAGGAAAGATTTCATCAGACAAGACGATTCCATTCAACAGTATCTTGAAGTTATTGGGATGGTAACTAAATGAATTTGGGATGAAAAAGTAGGAAATTTGAAATGAAATGCACTGACTAAAGGTTTGATTTTTATGGTCAATTGGTCTTATGTTCAATTGCGGTGGGTGGGTTTGGTAGTATCATTAAGATTGATGATTGATGCTTTGTTAAGAGGAGGAAAAATGAGAAGAAAATGCAAATATTTTACTTTTCCTTTTCCATTGTTTGGTAGTTTCATCAGTCTATGCATCACATGGTAGCCTGTCTTTGTATTTATTAGGATGATGAATTACATAATAAAATTAAGTGAAGTATATTTTAATATGTTTCAGTCAAATGTGTCAATTTTTTTACAACTGTAATTTTAAATCTCTGTGGGGTTACTTTGTCTTCTCAAGATTGTTGTTTGTAAGATGGGGTCTTGTTCTTTGCCTAAACTAGATTATAGCAATGTCTATAGCAAATTAATTTCAAAAACAAGAAGATTTGTTGAAATGAAATATGTTGAACTTTGTCTATATCCAATTGAAATTTCGAAAATCTAAAAGAATGTAAAATCGAAATTTATAGGCATCGAAATATCGTGATGAAATTTCATGTCAATATCGTGTGCTACAGATGCTGAAAATTTGAAAAAGTAGAATTGGTGTAGTCGACCCGTTAACGAAAAGTTATAGGATATGTTCGATAGTGATAATGAGAATTGATTTTATGATCGTTTGAAAGAGAAATAGGTCTCACATGTGAGTAAAGAAGTCAAAAATAACTATTGAAATAGTGAAATAATAATAAAAAAATCAATTTTTTTGGTGAAAAATTATTACCAAACAAGGACACAATATGAATATTGGCTAATCTACTCAACAATGGGGTGACAACTAATTTGACACCAATGATTAATTAAATTTACTTTTCTAGATAATTTCAAATAATAGCAAGTGAAATCTTATTTCATTAAGAATTTGAACAAAATCATGACAGAGTGAACGAGGATTATATAGAATGAAAATTAGAGCATATCCTGTGTTGGTCAACTTAGTTGTCAAATCACTTCGAAATTCAAATTGGGGACTTGTTACATGGGGCAAAAGATTAGCTTAACCTCGGTCCTATCACTCTATTGGACACGCCCTGGCCAGCTCTATTTTCAAAGGCCTAGGTTGGTCAGCCCTTTAATATCGAGTCATTTACTCATTTATATAAAAATAAATTATAATAATATTTATTTTAATTAAATATTAATTCTGAATCAAGAGAGTCATCTCATAACGCTCAAAACTCACTAAAAGACGATATGATTAGCAAGTATATCTGATAGTACACAAATGTCACTACGAATACATTGTTCATAACATACTTTATTCGAGTGTTTAACACACTACAACTGTACAGGAAACCTTCTTGGCTGAGTTGGTCTCTTAAATATCATATTTATGCTACTCATATAGAGTTGGGAGTGGAGATTAAAAACAATCTGCCCCTGATTTGCATTTCAAAAATTCAAATTCAGAGTTGAGATGTGTCCATCTCATCCTCTATTTTTAAATCTGTCCCCAACCTTGTTTGAGTAGCAAGACTACAAATATCATTGCAACGTCATGGTGTCAATTTTTTTATGTTCTGCCACGAATTAGTCATTCAAACTTAATAATCTCTCAACCATTTTTATCTTGTAAACTCATCTAGTTTATTTTTCTTTTCTGTCTTCGATTCTTGATCCTTTTTCCTATCCAATATACATAAGTCAAGACTTTCGATCTTTGACATTTGACCTTCAATGATAATATGGCCATTTAAAATGTATGAGATATTTTATTATGTGGACCTCAAGGTATCATACCATTGTTAGGGTGTAACAAAAGTCACATAATCACATTGTCACGAGGGATGTTACAAAAACCTTCCAAATGACTTCAAAATTAATTTGGATGGATAAAATAATTGAAAGCATCTAATCATTTGGCATGAAAGAAACGCATGAAGTATATGCGTATCTATATTTCTTGGTTGTATAGCTTGATTAGAGGGCTCCATAAAGGTTATATTAAAGTCCCGTTTGGGAGTGATCTTTCACCCCTAAAAAATTGATTTTTAGATTGTTATTTCACTTTTCAGTCTTAATTTTTGACTTCTTCTTACAGGTGGCACCCACTTTTTTCTTAACGATCAAAAAATCAATTCTCAAAATCACTATCAAACATGTCCTAAATTTTCTCTATACCAATATATTGTTTTTCATTCAAATTTTGATAATTTATTTAAAGACTCATTGGCTATCTTACGGGTTAAGTTCTTCTCACCATAATTCTCTTTTTTAATCTACTTTGCCAAATCACAATTCGACCCTTCAGTTTATAAAGGAAAAAGATAATGACAGCAATTGAGTTTAGTTAAATATCATAAAAATTAAAGAATTAGTATTATATTGATAAGATAAGAATGGAAATATTAGCATGTGAATTAAAATTATTCATAATGAAGACGTCTTGATTAGTTGAGATATATATTAAGCAAGTTGGATCTTGAATTGGCTAAAAAATGGAAACAAGGTAGTTAAAATGATTTCATTCGATCTCAAATTTTAAACAATTCAATAACGTTAGTATTTAGTATATAATGATTTCCTCTTTTCGACCATTTAATTTTGGATTAAATAGAAGTCAAAGCGTGTCTACCTCTATAACAAGTGTGCATCTCATGATCCAACAAAGAAGTTAGATAAAGACGATGCCTTTATACAAGATCAATCTTCAACAATTCAATGGCACTCCTACAAAGATAAAATTTCAACGATCGACTTTTAGTAATATTATTTTTTACAGAGCTAATCTTCCTTCACTATATTAAAAAGTTAATACAAATTGTTGTCATTACAAAAGATAAAATTAAACTAAATCTCTTAGTCGATTTACAAATATCACATACCTACTGCTAAAAAGTAGATAGATACGATTTATTGTTAAAATTTCGTGTGTGTGTATATATATATATATATATATATATATATTTCATTTTGTGTAGTTAAAGCAATTACTTTGATGCTTCAAAAGTGGTGTGAATGCAAAGACTCGTGTCTAAATAAACTAATAAAGCATGAGGTGCAAGCGTTAAATGGTCCAACAAATGGTACAACTTGGTTCCTTTTCATGGCCGACCCTTGCAGCATCACCCGTTCACATCTCATTCAGTGGGCATCTTTAAGCATTGCCTCATATCTATACATACGCACCAACAGGGGCAAATCTAGGAGTTTGAGTCAGCACGGGCGGTCGTTGATCATTTACCATTGGCCGTAATAAAATATTAAGAATTCTTTTGATACCCATTTTTATTTTTGCAAAAAATGCATTTTGGATTAGTCATTTGATGGAAAATGTGTGAATAAAAATAAAGAAAAGTTTTTTGAAATTTACGTGTAATATTATTTTATTTAAAAACGTATGGATGAAAAGAATAAAGAAATAATGTATTTTAAAAAAAATGGGAATCGAATAAAGTATAAAGTATAAATATAACAATTATTTTGTTCAAATTGAACATGTATAATTATGTTATAAGAATCAACAGAATTCATCAAATGACATTATTACCAAGTTTTGTATAATAGAAAGGAAGAGTGCGAATTCGAATATTTAAAAATGTTTGCATTAAAATAGTCAAAATATAAGAAATATTATTTCATTTAATCTAATGACACAATTTAAGGGGTACCATAATGGTTGAGTTTGCAACAATTCTTGCTTGAGATCCACGGTTCAAATCCTCATTGTTCCTTTCACTATTGAATTTTTCTAAAAACTATATAACAAAATAAAACATAACAAATCCATTCATAGAGGACTTGAATTCAAGAACTCAAACATGTTTCAACTAGCTCTCACCAACTCAGCTACAACTGACATTTGAAAACAAAATGTATTACCAAAAATATAAGATAAAATCTTAACCTATTGTTAACAAAAAAAAAAAATTCTCCGGCGAATCCAGCTAAAGCGGGCGCCCTATTTGGCCATCACCTAGATCCGCCACTGCGCACCAATGTCATTATATTCTCCCAAAAAATGTTGTATATTCAAATTTGTGGGTTCGATTAAATAAAGACATAAAGTCAAGAATCCAATAGAACCATACAGGGTTAAATTCCTTAACTAGTGACTAAAATTTATCAAAAGATCCCATAGGTTCATTAAACTTCAAAATTTCCCTAAATAATCACCGGACTTTGCAAACCGGAATCCCATCTATCACTGAATGAATGCCAGTTGTGAAATTAGATGGTCTTGACGACGTGTCTGACGAAAAACGTGGCGTGGCACATTTGTGTACGATTTCTCGGCCTAGTAAGTGCTTGTTTGTGCCCCATTATTTGTAAATAATATATTATGGAATAGTGATTGATATTGAAATGTATGGTTAAAAAAGAAAGAAAATTTCTTGATTTACTTGTAATATTATTTTAATGAAAAATATGCGATTGAAAATGAATACCGTAGAATAAATTATGTGGGAGAATGGTAGACAAAAAATCCGAAGTAAGATGTTGATGATGTGGACAAATTTTATAAATTTGCATTTTAAAAAAAATTTAACATAAAAAAAAAATCTGAAATCAATTGAATTAAAACAAAACCAACCAAACATTCCCAAATTCAATCACACAAAATCCCGAAGTCTAATTTCAGTAACTTACTTACTTGGCCAGGAAATTGTACACAAACATGTCACATCACATTTTCCGTTGAACACGTCAAAAAGATAATCTAATTTCACAATGGATGTTAACTCATTGATGGATGGGATCATGTTGTGCAAAGTTTAGTGACCATCTAGGAAAGATTTGAAGTTTAGTGATCCCGTGGGGATTTTTGGTAATGTTTAGTGACCATTTCGGGAATTAATCCAACTATACATAATCTGCACTAGGACTTTGTGTCGAAATGTCCTAAAGTATTACTTAGGTTGTACGGAAAATTATAAAACAAATAAGGGTGCTTTTGGTTTGTTGTTTTCAATCCATTTTCAATTTTCAATTTTGTAAAACACTGAAAACATGTTTGATCTGATATTCTAGAAATATACTTTCAAAAACAAGGATGAATTTATAACATAAAATTTGAAATGCATTTTTGATGTCTTAAATATTTTCAGCAA